GTTATGCCACGAGACTTTCAAATTCCTGCAGAAGTAAACTAGAAATGACCCACCACTTACAGTTTTGTAACAAAGAGCTCAATTCTGCTTTCAATCTGTACCCACACACAAACAGACACACACGCATGCACGCACAGACATATACACACACACACAGACATACACACACACACACACTCAGACATATATACACACAGACATACATGAATTTAGTGGTGGGGAACTCACACCTGCACAATACTCCTATACAGGCCTGTCTTGCTCATAGTGGCCTGTGACACATGCACACACTGACACACACACACACACACACACACAGACACACACACACACAGTTTTTACAGTGCTTTTGAAGCAATAGGATAGTGTAATATTTTATAAACACTTAAGATTTGCTTTCAAAGAGAAGCATCTATTGACTGTTGAAACTGAGAGGTCCCTGTACAATAACATGGTCACAGAGGCCAAGAAAATGTGTGCTGAGAATGACATCAAAGACCTATGCAGCAATCAGCCATGTAGTCGCAACATCACTATGCACTACTCGTTTGACTATGCCCAGCAAGTCCACCTGCCAAGTAACCCCTTACAGCCAGGACCAATTTATTTTCTAGTTCCAAGGAAGTATGGGTTGTTTGGTGTCTGCTGTGAGGGGCTTCCTCGGCAGGTGAACTTCCTGGTTGATGAAGCCCATCTCATTAGTAAAGGCTCAAATGCGGTGATTTCATACCTGCATTTTTTCTTCAGCAATTATGGCATCAGAGAAACAGATGTGCATCTCCACTGCGATAATTGCTCAGGGCAAAACAAAAAACGTTTTGTCCTTTGGTATTGTGCCTGGAGAGTTGCAATGGGTTTGCACAGGAGCATAACCTTGAACTTCCTTATTGCCGGGCACACCAAATTTGCGCCTGACTGGTATTTGGGCTTCTCACGAGAGCATTCAAACGTCATGTGGTGCCTTCACAGAGTGTGCTGGAGAAAGTTGTACATGACAGCTCCACTGTTAACATCGCCCAGGTCGTTGGAAGGGAGGATGGTACAACAGAAGTCCCAGTGTGTGACTGGCAGACCTTCTTCACTGGATCCATTAAACCAGTTCCTGGAATAAAAAAGTATCAACATTTTAGGTAAGTGTGCAAATTAAGTAAAATGGCATGTTTAATGTATTTATATTGAGCAAAACACTACTAGATGCCACAATCTGCATGTAGGAACTTTGCTTTAGTTGACTTTTTAATGACCCTTTTTCATAAGTAATAAGCAACATGAACTAGACCATACCAGAAAGGATAGTGTCAACACATGTTCATGTTGTAATACTCAATAACTAGATTGAGTGGTGCCTTCACAGAGTGTGCAGGAGAAAGTTATTTGTATAAATTTATCTGTATCGAAATACTTTTAATCAGTGCTTAATTTGTAAATGAATAATTGCCGGATCCAAAACAACAATTAAAAGGTGCTGTGACCAACACTGAAAATACAACTTAAGTTTTCCCGGAACATTCAATGACATCACTAAACAGTGATGCCACAATTATAAGAGAGCATCGTTCACAAGTTTCTCCATTAACCTAACTAGGGCACAGGTTCAAACCCTGGGTCAAAAATTGGTTGCCAGGATGATTTTAGGAAATGTATATCTAAGATACATTACAAATAACAAAATTTGTTTTCATAAAAATACAATTCAATCATAGTATAGGTATAAATATGCAAAAAATATCTGACTTAAATAAGTAGTAACCGTTTTAATTAAACACGCATCCTTGCTTTATTTTAAATCACAAATGTTCTGTTGTTATTTTGAGTGTGCAAAAATAAAAGTAAACACTTTGTGCTTTCGAATTATGTCTTACTTTTATCTGTATGACCAAAAATTATGTATTTTATGTTTCAGCTGTTCGATCACACCGGCGCCTTGCGCGCTCACACACACACACCACATATTCGCAACTCAAACTTGACATCTAAGTCTGTTCATTATCAAAATAAAATACAGTCAACCAAAAAAAAGGTTACACTGGTCAATTTAAATAGTCCGTGGTATAACTGGTCCAATTTGTATGCCAAGCACATTTTTGCTCATGTGAAGAGGATATTTCTGTCGATATACGAATGTGCGTGAAGTACAAAGCCTTTACATTATAAATAATAGTTTTATTAAAATACATTACGAATATGAAAACATTAGGATTTGTGCCGAATGAGAGGTATGTGAGCCCAATTAACGCCTGGTACTTTAAGTTTCGCTTTGTTTTGGTTTCTTTAGGTTTATATATTTTTTTTTCATTCTTGGTCTGTTCTGAATACCGTTACATTGATATGATTTGTTTTGGAGTGAGCTATACTAACGTATAGCTATGTTTATAATATTTATACATTATAATATTTCACTTTATTTGGTATTATTTCTGGTATTATTACTCTCTCCAAACGTTCTGCTGCTCACAAAACAATAAGCAGTAAGCACCAATAAATGAGAGCGAGTTTGAACTTAAGAAAGCTGACTGGTCACAGTCAAAAATTTGTTGAGGACCAATACAAAACCTCCAAATACATAAACCTGCGCTCACTCTCATATGCACACACGCACACATCACGATCTAATGCCGGATCTTTAAGAACAATTACCGGACATTTTACGGAACAGGATCCGGCTCAAATTAAACACTGCTTTTAATGAGAATTTTTGATGTCAAGACACCTTCAGAACAGCCATGTCACTTGCTATTCATGTTTACGAGCACTAAAATTCTCATTGTCTCAGCTTCATTTTTCAGGTTTGATGCTATGCATCCTGGAATGGTTTTTGTCAAGGAAGAGGCAGGCAGTGACAAATTACCTTTCCAGATACTTCTGCAAGGCATGGATTTCCCCGATGGAGAACTGGTTATCCTGACTCCTCCTGGATTATCACTCCAGAGGCAACAGTACCTGTATAAGAACATCCCCCCTTTCGTTGATGATCCCTACAAGGATACTGTTTGTCCAAGGCCTGAGGTCCTACCAGTTGATGATTCTGACAACAAAAGTGCTGGAGAAATGGACATTGTGGTGAACTTGGTCTTGGAGCAAATTAAGGATGCTGAACTGGGTCGCGGATGTGATTGTGGTTAGGGGTGTGGTCAGCCACCTAGAGACAGGAGTCGAAGCCCTCACTAGGCCACTGGGACAATGGCAAAACAATAAAAGAACACTTTGTGGACTGTTTAAGGTCAGATGTGACTTAAGATTTAGACCGTAACCTCATCCCTGATTGAGAGCATATGAAAAAATATGAGAAAAAATTTATAAAAGTGTAACATTTTATGTTCCTGGTGAAATATTTTTATGAAATTTTGTGTGTATAAAGGTTTAGCTGTGGTAAATCAATGGTGTAAATTTAATTTATTTCCCTTCATTAGTAATATGCATTGCTAAGGACTTCATTTGGACAACTTTAAAGGCGATTTTCTCAATATTTTGAACAGAACAGACAGCACGACGAGAGAATGATTTCACATTTTGTGGAAAATTCACGCTCTACTGAACGTTTAAAGGTCCCATATTGTCAAAACTGACATTTCCTGGCTTTTTTCATGATAACTGAGGTCTAGGGGCTATTTAACTACCATACAAGTTTGAAAACAGTCAGTCCACAGTAAAATGCACACAGCCTGCTTAAAGTAGCTGTGATTTCCTTTTCTATTGACGAAATCTTTATAACCACCAGATGGAGGAAGGATAGGGATGTGGGTGAATGACGGGGACTCATGGGAAAGTTTAGTTTCCATTCCAGGTCACTAAATTCCAGCAATACAACCTTCTCCCACCAGTCCTTACTACGGACCTTCATCCACACACTTCTACTTTTCAGAGGAGGGAGGGGTAGTATTGAGATGCTCCTTAGAGATGCACTGCCACCAAAAAGGTCAGCTTCCGGTGCCCGTCTTTTCCTCATACCTTCCAGCAGTAGTATGCTTACAAATTCACGCTGTTGTTTGATTAAGAGCAACACTTTACATAAAAATAGTGTGCATAAAAAATAATGGAACTCCATGTTGACAGGAATAAAAGATGGCAAACAGGACATAGGCTAATGTGCGCATGTCACAAAGTCATTCCGATTGAAAGCGCCGGCATATGTAAACACCATATCGGATTAGATAATGTCTCATGTAAACAGTCCACCGAATCTTTCAATCGGAATGATTTTAATCGGAATGACAAAAAAGTGTACATGTAAACGTAGCTAGTGTTTGCATTAGTTGGGATCTTGACCCTTAAATATTTAACATTAGATTTTGTAGTAGCCAAAAAAAATTTAATGTTTAAAATTTAAGGGTCAAGGTCCCAACTAATTCAAACACTGACCACTACAATGGTGACTTAAAAACGGTGACTTTCTCCTTTGGTGATTATGCTTGTTACCATCAGGTGTCTTCAATAATGGTCAATCATCACTCAAATAATCACCTAATTATCTCATTAACTTTAACACTTCTTCAGTGTTAATTTGACACTGTTCAGCGTTGATTTTAACACTCTTGAGTGTGGACTCAAATAAACTCCCGGGAGAGTTAATTTAACACTGGGCTTTTTGCTGTGCTGAGCTTCAAAAATAACAAAAAAACAACAGTAAGTTCATCAGGCTGATTTTATTAAATTCTTGAATTTTGAATTGACATAGCAGTGGCCTTCAAAGCCGTAACATAATAATGTATGTAAATCATATAAATGCATAAATGCAACAAGTAGAACATAAAATCGTGTGTTTGTGTCAGAGTAGCCGTGTCAAGTACATTTATCATAAGCACAATCAAAATTTTTATTCACCTTTACAGGAAACTATTAATCTGAAACTTTTGATTTATGTATAACCCCTCAGATTGAATGATCGTCATAATGCTTATTTTAGCCATTTATTAAAATGGATAATTTAATCCTGTTATGGTGTCATCTTTCCACAACCACAATTATGAAAGTCATGCATGAAAATGATTAGAAAAAGTGTCCTAATCTTTCTTTGAAAACTTTTTATAAATTGCTATTCCTCCAGCTACAGCTAGACCTCCTCCTGCAAGAACTAGTGCCGGTGCAATGACCAATGTTGTTGCTCCCAGAACAGCACCACCTGTTATTATGGCTGCTACTCCTGCTGATCCAATTGCTACTGAAACCTTACGTAGTCTACGTTCTTTTCTGCTGAGAATTTCTTTAAACATCTGATTTGTGTAGTATCTCCATCCATTTCCTTCTGCCATGTTTTCAATCTTCTCCAGCAGCTCTGTGACCTGAGAGCGGTTCTCAATGTCTTTATTGTTGATTGAGTGAAATCTGCCACCACACTCATTAACAAGAGCCTTGAGATCATTACTTTCTCTGATATACTCATCTAATGGTTTCTCCTCTAGTGCATCTGCGTGAGTGAACAGAATGATGGTGTAATGTACTGCATCTTCTCCAATGTTCTCCTGAATCCATTTCTCTGTGTTTTTCTTTTCGTCTGTGAATCTCGTGTCCAGTCTGATGACCAGCAGAAACACATGAGGACCAGGAGCAGACATCCAGACAAACTTCTCTATTTCATCTTTTTTCATCTTCTCTTTTGATGCATCAATCAGTCCTGGAGTGTCAATTATTTGCATGCTCTTTTTATCCACATTTGCTTCATGTACTTCAAAGGGTTCCGGATTTGGTGAATTTCTCCTCTCTCTGCCCAGGATGGTTTCCACCACTCTGGTCTTTCCTGATCCAGTTTTACCCAGCAGCACAATACGAGGTTTCTCTGACCCTGTCAATTGGAATTTTAAATGAAACAGAGCAATTACAATTCAGACATAAACATAATATTCAGACTAAATAGTTCTACTGAATTTGGTACATTTAAGAAATGAAAGAATGCAGGAACAATCAAGAAAATACGTTTTTTTTTTCTTACACCACTGTTTATATCATGATAATATATGTCAAAGAATAAGCCTGATAAGACATAAAAAGCCAAAAACACACTCACAGAATTGTACTCTATCAAGTATCCTTCTCTGAGCTTGCTGAAACATCTCATCAGTGTAATGTTGTCCTCCATTCTTCTCCACCATCTTCTCAATCTTCTTCAGCAGTTCTGTGACCTGAGAGCGGTTCTCAATGTCTTTATTGTTGATTGAGTGAAATCTGCCACCACACTCATTAACAAGAGCCTTGAGATCATTACTTTCTCTGATATACCCATCTAATGGTTTCTCCTCTAGTGCATCTGTGTGAGTGAACAGAATGATGGTGTAACATGCAGCTTCTTCTCCAAAGTTCTCCTGAATCCATTTGACTGCACTCTTCTCTTCATCTGTGAACCTCCCCACTTTGATGGCCAGCAGAAATGCATGAGGACCAGGAACAGACATGTAGACACACTTCCTTATTTCATTCTTAATTTCCGGTTTTGTCATTCTTGTATCAAACAAGCCTGGAGTGTCGATGACTGAGATGATCCGGTCATCAGTCTTTACATCATGTCTCTCACTGGTTGTAGTAACTGACTCTGGTGAGACATCCTTTTTAAAATACTGTAGATTCAGGATGGTGTTTCCTGTTGAACTCTTTCCTGATCCAGTTTTACCCACCAGAACAATCCTGAGTTCATTTGAAACCGATCCTGTGAGTCAAATAAAACAATCTTAATTAGTAGAATGATTTTTAAATGCTGAGTTCAGGTGCCATATTCACAAAGATTGTTAGGAATCCTCCTAAGAGTTCCTGTGAGAGTTTTAGCTTAATATCTATTCACAAAAGTATTAAGAGCAATTTTTACTAGGGAGTTCTTAATATAAATAAAGTTGAATAAAGGTGTATTTACACTGCAGTTTTCGTTCATTGACTACCATATAAGAACCTTTTGTTTTGTGTGTGTACATGTGTTTATTATTTCTTTAAATTAAACTTTTTGTTTCCCAACTCTCTGCTGGAAGAGATAGTTTGAAAGCTACTGTTACGCAACTAAATAAACAGTGAGAGTATGTTGGTGACATTACTTACTATAAGGCAGTGGTTCTCAAACTTTTTACAGTGGCGTACCCCCTGGGGCATTTAACATTCTTCTGCGTACCCCCTCTCATCCACTTAGACCGCAGTCACACCTTTGTCTGAATGGCTTGCCACAGGCTCCGTGTGTGTCTGCTGTCTGTGAAGTGATTATTTTTTGAGCATACGACTGTTTTGCCTTTTTGATGCCACAGGACAGATTGGCTGTACTAACACGCACAGAGTATGTATCGAAGAGAGTTTATATTGATCTCAATGTACAATGCGTGTCAATATTTGCTCTTCATGCTATTAAGTGAAGATCTACTTATTGAACAGCAGCGCGATTTGCTAAAGCAGCACATTTAGCGGGCATCTTATCACATGCACATTGTGTGGATGCAGTCAGTTTTGACTGCAAAAGATGAGGTAAGCTGATTGGATATCATGTATTTGACCGTTTACGGCACTCACATTTTCCTGTTTTTACATCAGAAGCGGCATTTTGCTTGTCAGAAATACATGTTCGGTTTTACTGTTACTTTAAGTTGGGGTAGAATTTAATGAATGCCAAAACTCAGAATTTTGTTCGCGTACCCCAGTTTGAGAACCACTGCTATAAGGGAAGAGTGGTGCACAAAATACAGCAGGCTGCAACACGTTTGTTTTCCATAAATATTTGTACAATTATACTTTGTTTTATTTGTAATGGTGCAGAAAAAGAGCACCATTCAAATGTTATTCAATCATAGTGTATATGAAATTTCACACTACATTATTATTAATATTATTATTATTATTTAAGAATCTTTCTTGGAGTTTATAAGGCAAACTTTCCAGACGCTGAATTTAAATGGCAGAAATTAAACTGACACTTTCACAGCCATATGCTTACTTAAAAATAACTGATAAGTGAAATGACAGGATGTGTCTTACCTGCCACATTAAAGTCATCTTCTTTTGAAATTAGAGGTACTACGAGGAAACAAATGTGATATTTTATAGTTATTGTAGAATAAATGTACCTATATATTATTGCTAGTTTATGCAATGCTGGAAAACTGTTGTACTCACCTCTTTTGCTCATTTTGTTCCTGTTTGCTTCTGAATACTTCAGAAAGCTGTGAATCATTCAATAATTTATTATTATTATTAAGCATGCAGGGTTTGCATAACAGAGTGTCACTCAAACTGAAATGTAAACGTCTCAGGTTACTTATGTAACCATGGTTCCCTGAGTAGGGAACGAGACACTGCGTCCTCTAGGGGGCTCTATGGGGGACGCCACGTCGTGACCCGTGTCTTGAAGCATACATTGAAAAAACACCAACAACACGTTGGCCGGCGACAGCCCATGACGTCACTACCGGTGCGACTATAGTATAAATAAGCGCCGGGAGCTACACATTCAAATAAAGCAAAATGACAGGGAACAAAACATAGTAAATTAGTCATCAGGTGCCATGTTCAATACAGCAGCATTTCAGAGATCTCGAATCAATTAATTAGCAGAAATTATTACTCCACCACATCCGTGTGACGTCATTAAAAATGGCCCTAAATTGTTGAACTAATATGGTTCAAACGACGGAGATGCGACCAAGTTCGGGAAACAGTCGTGACTGGCTAGTTGGTTTCCACAACAATGCATCATACTATGGTGGCTAATCAGTGAGTTACGTCGTTGTACGGAAACGCACCCCTGGTTGGGCCAGTGGTTCAAATTTTTACTTGCCCTGGCTAAAATTTCACTGGCCTTGCCACTAACTAAATAAATAAGTTAGACTTATTGTTTTCATTGTTGACCGTAACCTTGTATTCAGGGGTGTAGCATGTATGCAGGGTATGCACGAGCATATGGGCCCCGGCTGATTGGGGGCCCGCCGAGGGGGACCTTTTAATTAAAACAAGGGAACCAATTCTTAATTTGTGGCCTAAATAAATAAATATATTGTCTGCATGTCATGTGCAGGGCTCGGTAATTTCCTGTTTGCATTTTTTATATTGCTGTAGACAGGGTGCGATTTGTATAGGCATAGCCTATTTATATTTTTAAGAAAACAGTCTGCTTTGACGCACTTCTGTATTTTTTTTCTGCTTTCTGGTGTAAGGATCATCTGTGGTGTGTTGCCCCTCTTTCACCCACATCTCTGCAAATATTTGCGCAGGGAATGAGGCAACCCCTGGTCCGTTTACTGAAATGAACAGTAGGCTGTTCAGCGTGGAACCAAATCATTCTTTTTCTACCATCGGTGAGAATATGGTTCATGACACTGAATCCTCGTTCACACTCGGCTGTTGAAATTGGAAGCATGGAGACAGTAGTGAGCACTTTGCGCAGATTCTCTCCGATGACGCCATGACATTTAAATTCGTGGAATTCCTTGAGGAGTATTGGACTTGATGTGGCCTCAACAGCAAGAGTCTTGTGTATCGTGAGAAGTTTGTCATCCCCAAATAGGATGCGCTCGTCTTCATCGGATGGCCAATTTGACGGATTTAGAGCAGCTGCAGCAGAAATAATTCTGTTGTTATCCAGCCTGCGCTCAATGTTGTCGACCAGGGAAATGAAGAATCATTCACGAAATACCTCTGTCTTTTGATGGTCTCCGTCACTTGGTTGAGACACTTTTACACCCTTGAACGTGTGGAAACATTCAAATTCATCATTCATGCATTTTGCGTTCACACCATCGGCTTGTCTCATAGACTGTGTTCTCAGTGCAACGTCCACCTCGGAATTAGCACTGACAGCTGTGGTATCTCTCCTTTGAAGAAACAGGGATAAGGCCTGCTGGGTCTCCAATGCATATTTTACCAATGACAGCTCCACCAAAAAAAGCCACTGTGTCATTTTGCCATGAATGTCCGTACACCTAGCCCTCTCTGGCAGATCTTGAATGGTCTTCGCTTAACTCTTCAAAGAGTTTGACCAATGCTGGATAACTTTCCCAAAGAGCTGTCACAGACGTGCAGGACGAGGACAGCCAGCGCACGTCAAACACTCTTCCTATCCTGCGAGCGTGTATCACCAAGTCAGAAGCTGCAGACTCAAATTCTCATATTTTTGGGGCTTCGAGAGAAAAATTAGTACAGAGAGTCAGTGAACATCTGAAAATGACTTGCATCTGTAATATGTTTTACAGCATCATGGACCACAAGTTCTAACTTGTGATTCATACAGTGAATGACGGCAGGGGCGGACTGGCCATCTGGACGTTCTGGAGAAGTCCATCTGGTTCAACATCAAAGAAAAAGTGTCAGATTAAGTGACGTTGACGGCCGACATAAGGGGGCGCTAATGCAATCTATTTTTGCTTATAAGAAACAGAAACTGACGCGAAGGAGATGGGTTTGTGATGGCAAGTAAAAAACGTGAAGATAAAGGTGGTTGGGAGAAGCTAAAAGGAAAAAAAGCAAACAGATACATCAGGTTACCTTTGCCTGCCTCTCTCACTATACACAGCATGTAGCCTATAGCACTGCAGTAAAATCCCAGGACACCCCTAGTCCGAGCGTCCACTGCCATTTTATCACGCCGCATTGTCTGGCATGAATATTCCATTCATTCATAAAGAGACAGCAGTGATTCTACAACGGGTTACACTTGAGAGATATTGAGTTAGAAAATAGAGTGAATGAAGTAGCCTATAAGGTGATTAGTTTGATTAACATGACACACACATACACACACACACAGACATATGAATACTCAAATTAAAAAAAAATTCTGTTGTTTCAGGTTTCTGGATTCTAGGTTTATGTTTATCATTGTCATATACATTTTGCATTCTGCTCTTTTTATGTAGATTTCAAGTATTTTAGTTCATACAATAATACATTTATTTCAATCCTCTGTTGAAAAAAATAGAAACCATCACATAATTTGTAATGGTTTTACTGGTTATAATGAAAATTGTATTGGTTTTAATGGAAACTGTAATGGCGCCTGTTGGTCTCTGGTAATTGGTCACCTTCTATTCATGGCTTTTGTTAAAGCCATTAAATCCTAATGTATTATGTCCCAATGTTACTAATGTTGACATTGATCGTTAGTTGGTGCTTGGTGACATTTCGAAAAGACGTGCATGGAAGACCACTGGGAGAGGATCGCGGTATTGTCCTAGACGTGGTGTCATCTCTATTGTCACACGAGCGGGAGCACTGATAGTGAAAGTCCGTTTCTGGTTTTATTATTGTTTGCGTCAACATCGTTTCACTTAGATATATTTTTTAAATATTTGAATATTTTATTTTTAGGCATTTTATATAATATATTTTTTAATAAGCATTAATGATTATGGGGGAGGGGGGATAAATTTAGTCCCCACCAGGGATTAAAATAATTCAGCAGAGGTAGGGATATTTAGACCAGAGGGGGGAGAAATCCCCCTCTCGCACCCTGGCTGTAGAACTGTTTCATTTTTAAAAACTATGTGCAAACGCTGCATTGCCATGGCCAAATAAAATAATTAATAATTAAAAAAAACCTGTGTGAGGTTGATAGCTAGCTAGTTGTAAAGACTGTATCACAACTGTATCACATCTAGCTTCAGCGACACCTGCACCGTTTTAAATCTCTCTGTCATTTTAATTGTCTTTTCTCTAAAGACTATTGAAAGTAGCCATTCTTTCCATTGAGAATACATAATTTAAAGGCACAATGTTAGATTTTCGAAATAAAATATCCAAAAACCACTTGCACAATGTGATATATTTCATGCAGTTGTGTACTTACGTTTTCCCAAAAGTTCCCAAGAGAAATTCCAATTTTAAATAATGTCTCGTCCTGGTTCATTGTCACCTATCAATGACGTAATATCTGCACTATCGGTTTCCGTTTGTAGAAACTATGCAACTCACGTGGACAAAAATGCTGCTGTACAGTTAAACTAAATCCATTACAGCGGTCTCGAATAAAATGAAAAGTGTTGACTGCAGCATTAAGTTTCGATAATAAAATAAATGCTATGTCAGTAGCACTGCATTATTCATATACTTTATTTATTACATGGAGATGATGACTTGAGACACCATATATTGTTGCAGTCGTGCATGTTTTGTCTATCATTCTTTCATTGTCGTTTCATCAGCCACAACGTTTCTGCTTTTATTCAGCATAGCTACAGCAATAGCTGGGTTCCTTTGTCCATATTAAGGATTTCCTGGAATGTCATAAGTTACTTCTATCATTCCGTATTGGCCTTTCTGCTCGAGAGCGTCCTCCGGCGTCGAGTATGAATGAAACAGACACCGCATGAGAGGGTTTTAACGCTTTGTATGTTCACTTCTCCTCATTTTGGCTACGAATAAAACGTCAGGTCATGCATAGTCTATCTTTTCTCTTTGAATGTAAATCTAGATTTATTCACACTTGTTACTTTTACTTTTTTTCCCGCTTCAGCGCAGTAGCGCAACAGTTCGTCAATTCATGTTCGTGCAAAGGATGAGACGGAAAGAGGTTACCGATGCATGCCATTTTTTACTCATTCTCGTAATGTTGTAGAAGATTTTTATTGGTCAAAATATAAGTGATTCTACTGTTATAATCGTGTATCTGCCTGTGTATAAGGCCTGCATGAGACCTCCTTGGTGCAGACATTACAAAAATACAGTATATGGTAAAGTTGCATGTCCTGTTTTGACATTAGACAAAATATATGATGGAGCCTCTTTAGTCATTGAACATAAACTGGGGCCTCCTGTCTGCTTCTGGGTGGCAGGCTGGAGACACAGCCAAAAGAGGTAAACCAGTTGATAAACAATAACCATATGTATGAAACATGGGCACGCCTACGGAAAGCACTGTATAAAAGAAAGAACAGACACAAACTCGATAGATTTTCTGCAGATCATCTCTAGACTGCATTATTTCTCTGATAATAAAAGTCTATTTTTCCTGGCATCAAAACCCAAAGACTCTGAGAATGATTCCTCACAGCAC